TTTTGAAAGGGTTGCGCCTAGGACCTGGGCAAGGCACCTACTCTAAAATTCACCTCACCTGTGTGCCTAGGCGCGCTTTTTAAATCACTAGGTGGTTCAACCATCAACCTGGTCATCGGGTCGCGGGTTGCACATTCAATGTATGTGCAAACTTTCAAAGGCCATAACCTTTGCACTTTGATGTCTGATTGGGGTGATCCTTTTTTTTATTTTGGGTAACTTTTCAAGATCTATGTGCCCTATTTTCACAAAAAAAGACCTTTTTTGGCCTCAAATCGCAATTTTTAACATTTTTTTACAAATAAAAAATTAAAAGCTGAATTAAAAAAAACATAAATTAAATATAAAATAATGCATATATTACATGTAGAACATAATTATACATTATTTATCCATAAAATACATGTTTATACCATAGTTGTCAAGGCGACAAGGCGACCTTGGAGGCTTCCCTCACCCAGTCGCCAAGCAGTTTTGTGCACTGGGTTATAAAATACTTTTATATTTTTAATTTTTTGACATTATTAAACTAGAATATTCATTTTATGTGTTTATATACTGATTTCTTTATTATTTTCTTATTTTGTTAGGGTTTAATCAACACAAACATTGCTAACTATTGTATTGAACCCATGGTTCAAAGTTTCGTACGCCTCTGTGTATTGGCATAGGCGTATCGATACTTATAACGATACTCCCCCTATTTTTTGTATCTCTTTGGTTTTCAATTTCATTTATATATATATTATTTAAAAAGTATCGGGACCCCAAAGATACAATACAATACACCTGATACAGGGCATATCGTATCATCCTTGATCGAAGCCTCAAAAATTTCAAAACCTGAACCAATAAGCAAGGGAAGAACTTAAAATTTTGTCTAATCAACACATTTTCTTCTTCCACCTTTTCTTTTCTTCTCTCCTATAACAAAAGTAGGGGTTCAGCCCCTATATTTTTTGAATTTTCTTTCCTTTGTTCTTTTTCTTCTCATAAAATGTTGATTTTCTAGACTTAAACATGAAATTTATACTTCTCTTATGAAAATTATGAATAATTATTAAGGAAAGATAGTTATGGGACCTAGGGAACTACCCTAAGATATATGGTTTTACTTAAAAAAAATCCATTGCCTAGGTGACTAGGCCTAGCCTCACCTTGGCGCCTTGAAAACTATGGTTTATACATACCTATACACACACACAAATGTGTGTGTATGTATGTATATGCATGTATATATATACATCTATATGTATGAATTTACATATCGCTGATGTAGCATGGTCTGATGGATTGGTTGAAAAAGGGTGGAAATGGCTTTTAGATGTTCAATAGTGAGAGGAAGAAATTCAAGTGGCTGACACAAAACATGGAAGTGGAATTAAGTTGAGTTAAAAGGACTGCTAATGCTTTTGCTGATGCACTAGCAAAATAAGGGGTGGGAAGAAATCAAATGTTTTGGGCACAATTGTAATATGTACTATGCTTATAATTCTGGTGAGGAGAGATAAGAAAGTTTACCTCTCCTTTGTTGTATATTTTTCCTCTTTTTAATGAAATTCTGTTATTGATAAAAAAGAAAAGGCTATAGAGATATCCTTTAGAAAGAGAAAGACTTTAGCACAAGGTAATTACAAGTAATCATGGGCGACCGAAGAACAAATGGGATGCAAAGGTAGTCCCTAATGCAAATTCAACCTCTTCTTGGAAAGTAATACATGAGGCATATCCTTTCTTTCTTAACCATATTTGGTTTGATGTGGGGAAGGGGCTATGAGTATTATTCTGGGAGGACCTTTCGGTAGGTAAAAGCCCACTTAAGGTCCATTTTCCTATGCTCTATGCACTCTCCAACTACAAGGCTGAACCAATTGCTAAGTTTGTGGTTTTCTCCTCCTTGGGGTTAAATTGGGATTTTGGGTTCAGAAGTGGCCTTCAGGACCATTTGGGAAAGAAGGAATGGAAGGATATTCAGTGAGAAGAGCAGATCTGAATTGGAAGTCTTGGACACAATAAAAATAAAAGTTATGTATTGGGTAAAGACTTGGAAGCCTTTCAAGTATTCCCACTGAATGACATTTTGAGAACTTGGAAGGAAGTGGCACTTTCGGCTCAAGAAAAGGAAAGAATAATCATGGAATGGAGACCTCCAGAAACCAACTTGATAAAACTTAACTTTGATGGAAAGGCAATCAAGGTGTGTCTACGTTAAGAGGGATCTTTTGTGACTCAGAGGAAAAAGGTACTAGCTTCAGGACCTCTTGAGTGTGGTGGTGATTCATTGAAAGAAGAATCAATGGCCTTACTCCATGGTGTAAAGTTCACAAAGAAATTTGGGTTCCATCAATTGGAAGTAGAAGGGGACTCTCAGGTGGTCATTTCCTGGACAAGATGTAATACCCAAATCCCTTGGATCTATAGACACACCTTTTGGGAGATTGAAAGTATAACAAGGGAGCTAACTGTAACTTTTAAATGGGTGAGGAGAATTGCTGATGGGATATCAGATGTTCTAGCTAAACAAAGGGCTTTGAGGCATCAAATGTTTTGGGAAAAATTGTGATCTTTTGTTTGTTTAGGGTGGAGAATATTATTTATATATCCTTTTTGTTATAAATAAAAAAGAAAAAGTATAAATAAAAGGAAGAGTATGTCAATCAGGAGTTTATTTGACGTTCTCAAGTGATAGCCATCTGTCAGGAAGGCATTTCTGGTGTGTAACTGTGCAGGAGATTGTGCTTCATCTACACTTTGGTTGTTCTATTTCAAAGCTCTATTGGGGATGTCTTGGGGTGAAGAATATTATCACCTTGGTGTAACTTCCAAAATTTCCTTAAATTCTTTTAGATGATCTAAAAGCAAGTAAGGGATACGACCCTTGGTCATTTCTCCAAATGAGAGGCCTCCCCTTACAATGAATGGCTAAGATCATTACAAGTGTCATACATCTAACAGCTAGGATCCTTCTAGACATCTTCTAGTATACTATACAAGAATTCTTCTTGAAAAGAGATAAAAAAGAAAGTTTATTAAGAAAGAAGACGAGAGAAGATTACAATTAGGTAATACCTGCCAACAAAAACAAAAACAAAAACAAACACAAATTTTCTCCCACCAATTCCCATAGATTACATTTCCAAATCCTGTCCGGAAAAACCTTGAAACTGCCCACAACAAAGCCCATAAGGTCACAAACCAGAGTTTGTACTTAACCCCCTAACTCGCTAATCCTGCATTGCTGCTAATTAAACACCCAACTCTCCATCCCAAAAACCAAGCCTATAAATTCACCCAATGAACTAAACACCACACTGCATAGTTGCAAGAGAGCTTTACCCAATTCCACCCAAAGAACCAAACCCCACTTAACAGTTGCAAGAAAGCTTTGCCCAATCACTCCATATTGCTGACGGTTGAATCAGGAAACTCTTTATTTTTCTTCAAAAAGTTTTTGTTTTCTTTGCCCTCATATTGAGTCAAACCCCATACCTTTCATTCTAGCAAATACTTTTGATGCCAGGACAGTCCAATTATTTTTTGGTGTTTGAATCTTCTTACTGCATTAGGAAGAATCACATGATTCTTCTCAAACACTTACTCTGCTACCACCTCATCACACTTCTTCCTCGATTGCATTTACAATTTTAGAATCTTCAACAAAAGTCAATGTGTCCTCTCTACCCTTAGAAGGACCACCAGGCTTTTCTTCCAACTTCTTATAAGCTTCCCTTGCAAATTCCTTTCCCCCAATGAATAACAAACCAAGAGTTTTACTCATTTCCCTTTGTGTTAGCCACTGTTTCCAAGTCGATTACCCTTCCAACTTCATGAGTTTCATCCATCATAATTTTTTTTGATGAATGATCATCCATCATAATTTTGTCACTTGTCCATTTCTTCCTCATCTTCATTTTCAACCCCCCCCCCCTCTTTTGTAGAATACTCTACATGAATGCTCTAGAACAACTCTAGAATAGTGTACAAGTATCTTCGAGGCTCATGAATCTTCTGGAACACTCTAGGAATCGCTTTAATCTCTTGGGTCTTCTGGAAAACTTTTAGAATCTTCCATTAAACCTCTTCCATCTGCCCTCTTCTGTCAGGGTCCATGTCACATGCCTAAGGTAATGTCATTCCATGACACAAGTCTTGGTTCAACTTCTGGAAAACCTGTAATGTTGTGCTAGTCAACGTTTTCCACTACAGTATCAGCTTACATAGAATATTTGCGGCATCAGACCTTATTCAGAGTCAAGTTAGAAAGCCCACAAAAACCAGGAGCCAAGGTAACAAGCCAAAATCATTGAAACAAAAGTAAAGTGGCAAATACTGTAAAACAATGATATTGATCTATACCCAACAAATGTGTAATAGAACAGAACATAGTATAATATCCAAGTCTAGCCCATCCTACCCTGGCTCATGCTCATTTAGATAAGAAACTGGACTTGACGCTTTGAGGTTATAGCACAGTTATCAAGACAAAATAAGACCCCTTCATGGTAACTGACAACTGTGTCTAACCTAGTCCTAGAACTTTATGTGGTGACACAACTCCCCATAAAATTTCAGCATGTCCTAGACACAAGGTAGATACATTCAGGAGACCCTATTTGACTTTGCTTCAATAAACCACTTGAAAGACATTCAATACAATCTATACTGTGCAACATTTGGCTCAATCCATCAAAACGGAGATCGGAGGGAGAATATCACAGCATGTACCATGTTTCACATAGACAGTGGTAAATATTTATAACGGTCTACCTTGGGCATACCATAAGCATCCTGAAATAATTAAACAAATGAAAATGTGGATATTTCCTTGTTGGCATTAATCGCAACTTGTATGGGTTGATTCTCAGTTAGAAAAGACAAACTAGCTATAAGGAAAAACTAAAAGGAAAAGAATAAGTATAAACGAACAAGGTCAAAATCAAGATGTATTATCCAACTAGAAATGTTCTCTAGGCACGCTCTAGTTTACCACTACTATAAACCTTTCTTTCATGGACTTGGGATGATCTCAACCAATATTCCTCTGTTATCTTTCTGAAGTTCTCAAATATTTGCCTTCCTTGACATGTAGCAACACTCTCTGGATGAAACTGAAGATCAAGACAAAAGCAAAGAGTGTAATGTCACCAAAAAAAATAGAGCTGGTGAAAATAGCAATTTACAATTTAAACCCATTTTATCTTTTGGTTTTTCAAGGTTTACACCCTCATATAATTAATAAATACAATTATAATAAAACTCTATAAATTATTGATCAAAAGGAGTATTAATACAATGACTGCCACATACCTGCACACCATAATGAGGCAGTGTAGAATGCATAATGCCCATAATAATTTTTTCTCTTTCCATCCCTTGATTTCTTCCAGAGTTGTTGGAAGACCAAAAACTTTTATTCTTACTTTTGTTACAATAATCAACAGAAATATGCCAACCATCCTGATTTTTACAAGCATCAGGGATAACATCAGGCCTCTGGGTCTCAATAAAAGGAAGTGTCTCCCCAGAAGAAGTCCAAGCTATTGGAATTAGTTCTTCTGGAAGTGAATCTGCATCTAACACAAGGGAATGATACCGCACAACCTGCAATAAAGTATGATCAGCTGGAGCTTAGAAGAGATGTTCATATTCAATGTATGCTTCCATAGTGACTGCATATTTTAGTGGTTATGGAACAAGACAAAAAAAAAATCCAGTCTTGAAAATTATGGCCCTTCTGAAATCTCAAAATGTTTTCTGCATATGTAGTATTGTAAATTTTAGGTGCTAGGATGCAGAAGCAATCTGGTCATTGTAATTGCCTTTTAAAACACTGTAAAAGTCATTTTGAGGTGCATCGCCAGAAACAAAATTCTCTCTCAATCGCGTTTTCTCTCATCCTTTCTTCTTCCAATCTATGATAGAACAATGGTATCAGAGCATTATATGTCATAGAATGCAGATTGATAGAAGACAAGGTTGATGGCCAACCTTTCTTTAAAATCAGGCAAAATATGCTCTGAATCTAGGGGAAAACCCAAAGAATGGCTATTGGTTTTCTTCTAGAATAAGAGAATTACTAGAAAATAAAAAAGAGAAAAGAGGAAATAACACATTTTTTCACTACTAATTTAAAGTGAAGAAAAAAAGAGCTATAGAAAAGACCAAAAGTTTTATTAAGAAAATAAGATAACTGTTACAGGCATCCCACTGAGAGGAGCAACGCGCAAGGTGCAACCTCCCATAAAAGTGTGAAAACCACATAGCACTATAGATAAAGATTACAAGGTAGCCTAGTACAAATGTTCCCTCAAAACCCCTTGTTTAGCAAGATAATATGCCATAGCATTTGCAGACCTGCCAACCCAAAGTATGCTAACATTCATATTTCTTAATAACTAGCTGGCCTTCTTTGAAATGTTCTTGTAGCACCAAATGATTGAGTTCGGATCTGTTAGCCAACCCACAACAATCTTGGAGTCTCCTTCCATTTGTAGATTCTCAACACCAAGTTGATTAGCAATCTGAATACCTTGTAAAGCTGCCAACAACTCAGCCTTATTTGAGCCTCCTATTCCCACTGGGCCTGAGTACAAGGCTAAGATATTACAATCCTTATCTCTCAAAACCCCTCCTATGCCTAAGGGGCAAGGATTGCCTTGACTACTTCCATCAAAATTCAGCTTTACACAACCTTCCGGCAACAGAGTCCAAATTATAGAAGCCCTTTCCTTCTTGAAGGAGCTATTTGCCACCTCTAATCAATTCCTTCTAAAGTCATTAAAGGAGAACAAATGGAAAGAGTTTAAAGTTCTCAACCAATGAATTGCCCTTGTTAAGATGCACTCTTTGATATCAGGGAGACTCTGTTCCTTTTCTTGGAATATTCTTGCATTTCTTTCCTCCTAAATTGTCCAAAGTGTAGTTGCTCTGATACATTGCCACATGATCCTCCCTCTTTTTGTGGGCCATACAAAGACCAACGGGTCAAAAAGCAAACTTACATTAGTGGGTAGATACCACCTGCAACCAAATAAGGAAAAAATCCAAGCACAATTAGCAATAACAAAGGAGCAGGAGATTAGTAAGTGGAAGCAGTCCTCACCATTAACTTTGCAAAGAATACACCAGTTAGGGGACAAGCACATAAAAGGCTTCTTCTTCTGTAAGCAGTCTAAAGTATTGATTTTCCGATAAAACACTTCCTAGTCTGATTGTCCGGTCCGGTCCGGTTTTGAAAACCATGGTCTTTATAGGCAGAGAAAAAGCTTATGTTTTCAAATTTTTTGTTAATTTATATTTTCCCCAAATATTTTCATGAAATTTCCATAAATCTATTGATAGCACAAAAAAATTGTGATTTTGAATGTAAGAAATGTAGATCAACATAAATTTAAACATTCAAGAAAAAAAAAGAAATCACAAGATATCATAAAAGATTGAAAAAGTTTACCTATTTTTGACATATATTTCCAAAATCTGCAAAATCTTTAAAAAAAATAATGGTTCACACTTGTTTCTTGCAAAATTTTGCAAATCTAGCACTCTAGGAATGAAGTTTGGAGTTTTAGAGTCATTTGGGGGTGAAAGGCTTATTTCGGGGAAAAGAAGCTTGGTTTCCCCCTTTAATTTTTTTTGGTTTTTGGCCGTATCTTTTTCGTCGATACGCTACCGATACACCCCCGATACGGGTCTGATACGCATGAAAAAAGACAAAATGTCCGATTTCCATGTGTATCTTGTATCGGTTTTTAAAAGATACGATATGATACGCCTCGTATTGGGCGTATCGTATTGAAATTTTAAACCTTGAATTTAGGTTCTTCCCTTGTTATTGGTTTAGGTTTTGAAAATTTTGAGGGTCTAATCAAGGATCAAAATTTTGATACACCTATTTACAGGTGTTTTCGGAGACCCACTTTTTTAAATAATATATATTTAAAAATGAAATTGAAAACCAAAGAAATGAAAAAAATAGGGGGAGTATCGTTTTAAGTACCAGTTGCAGAAATTAGGGTTTCAAGAGAGTGAAAGAATGAAGAGAAGAAAAGAAGAAGAGGAAGAAGAAAGGGAAGTGTCGAGAGGTGTGTGAAGTTCACTATTCACACCCTCAAAAGTTCACTTTATAATTGAAAATTGATAATTACAAGAAGGCCCCTATCTGGGTGCCCAAATACAGAGAGTATAAAAAAGAAGAAAATGACCAAAAACACCCCTGTCTAACTATTCTCAACACTCCCCCTCAAGATGAGCATATATGTCAGTCACGCCCAGCTTGGCAAGGTTCTTAGCAAACTTTGGATGGTGAACACCTTTAGTGAGGCAATCAGCTAGTTGGTCTTCTAACCTTACAAAAGGAAGGAAAATCTCTCTGCTAGCAATTCTTTCTCTAATAAAGTGTCTATCCACCTCAATATGCTTTGTACAATCATGTTAAATAGGATTGTGAGCAATATTTATGGCTGCTTGGTTATCACAATATAGTCTCATTGGAACATCTGCTTGGATGCCCATCTCAGTCAATAAGGTCTTCAACCAGAGTAGTTCAGACACTCCATGAGCCATTGCCCTGTACTCTGCCTCAGCACTAGAATGAGCAACCACAGATTGTTTCTTACTTCTCTAGCAAACCACATTGCCTCCAACTAAGGCACAATAACCGGATGTAGATCTTCTATCATCGATGGACCTTGCCCAATCAGCATCTATGTAAGCCTCAATCTTTAGATAGCCATGGTTGGAATACAACATCCCTTTGCTAGGACATCCTTTTAGGTAGTTAGTTGCCTGCATATGAGAGGTCATGGGTTCATGCATATATTGGCTAACCACTCCAACAGTATGGGAAATGTCAGGTCTAGTCAAACAAAGATACGGAAGGCGTCCCACCAATCTCTAATATACCCCCCCTATCTGGAAGAACTTCTCCTTCAGTAAAGTTCAACTTGTAGTTGGGATCAATTGGAGTTTCTACAGGCTTACACCCTAATTTCCTAACCTCATGAAGCAAATAAGTACATATTTCCTTTGTGATAGAACAATCCCCTTCTTGGATCTTGCGAGGTCCTTAATCTAAAATTCAGAAGCAAGGAATGACTTTAACTGAGAGATACCTGTGATATCAGCACCTGTCACAACAATGTCATCAACATATACTATCAACATTGTTACTCTACCATCAACTCTTCTAATAAATGAGGTGTGGTCAGCTTGAGATTGAGAAAAACCAATCTTTAAGTTGGCATTCCTGAACCTATCAAACCATGCTCTTGGAGACTGTTTTAGCCCATACAAAGACTTCTTCAAGCGGCACACTTTTCTATCACTATTAGGGAAACTTACCCCAGGTGGTAAGTCCATATACACTTCCTCTTGTAAGTCCCCATTAAGGAAGGCGTTCTTTACATCCATTTGATATAAAAGCCACGAGTAATGGGCAGCAAGAGACATGATCACACGAATAGAGTTCATTTTAGCAACTGGAGCAAAGGTTTCCAGATAACCAATGCCATAAGTCTGAGTGTATCATTTGGCTACAAGCCGGGCTTTGTATCTTTTAATTGAGCCATCTGCCTTGTGCTTAACAGTATAAACCCACTTACACCCAACAGAAATCTGATCTTTAGGGCAAGGAACAACCTCCCAAGTCCGGTTCTTTATTAGAGCCTCCATTTCTTGGTTCATAGCTTCCTTCCAATTGGGGCACTGCGTTGCCTCTATAACACTACAAGGGATGGAAACAAAAGAGATAGTAGAAATATAGGCACAATAGGAAGAGGAGAGAGCATCATAAGACACATAGTTAGTGATAGGATACTTGCTACATGTCCTCTTCCCTTTTCGAATGGCAATAGGAAGATCAAGGTCAGAATCAATAATAAGGAGGTTCAAGATTACCTGAGTATGGGGAATCGGATTGTGATGGGCATTCTACTTCAGGAGCCACCCTCTTACTACACCTGATAAAAAACTGCTGCCAGGACCGAGGTCGATACACAAGAGGAGGAGGAGGAGGAGGAGGAGGAAGAGGAGGCGAAGGAATAGACGTAGGAAGAGAGGGAGGAATAAAGGTAGGAATAGGAAGGCAGAAGGGAGTCCGATCTTCACTTGCATTCTCCCCCTGAAGAGAAGGACGGGATGACTGGAAAAAGGAAAAGGATTCCAAAAAGGTAACATCCTTAGAGACATATCTCTTTCCAAAAAGAGCATCAAAGCATCTATAGCCTTTTTGGACTGGAGAGTAACCAAGGAATACACACTTAACGGATTTAGGATCAAACTTGCGTTGGGAATGACTCATATCATGAACAAAACAAACACAACCAAAGACCTTAAGGGGTAGATTAAAAGGAGGTTCATCAGGGAAGAGTAGTTGATGAGGAGAATGAAGGTTAAGGTTTTGGAGTCTTTGATGGTTCAATACAGCATAGCAATGCTTGTGTTGATTAAACCCTAATAAGTAAGAAAATAATAAAAAGAAATTAGTATATAAACACACAAAATGAATATTCTAGTTTAATAATGTCTATTTTATAATTATAACCTCAAAAAATTAAGAATATAAAAGTTTTTTATAACACACTGTACAAAACTGCTTGGCAATTAGGCGAGGCGGGCCCCCAAGGGCGCCTTGTCGCCTAGGCATCACCTAGGCATCGCCTTGACAACTATGATGCTTTTATCACCTTTCTGTTGTTGTGTAGCCTAGCATTGTGGACTTGGCCCCATTTGTAGTCCCTTACTGGGTTTAATGGGCCTGGGTTTATTCTGTTTTTCATGTTTCTTCCATCCAACTAATCGGGGACAGATTGGTCATTGTATCTCTTTCTTATTGCCCTAATATAAAAGATTGTTGGGGGATTTTGTAGAGGCTGACACCCATTTCTTTCAAACTCTTATTCTCTTATGCTTCTCTTCTTTCTTCAAGACTGAATCACTAAATACAAACAACTGTAGCTGAAAGTACTCCTGAAACAACTGATACATACTAGTGATGTTATCTTTACCCAAGTAAAGTATTTGTGAATGTTCCCAAATTTCTTCTAGGACACAAACTTAACACTCGCCTTAGGCTCCATGCTATATTCCATATCCAAGTCATAATTAGGGCATTTTCTTGCACCCACTCGTCATATAGCTACTGGTTTCCCATCTTTCAAGTACTTTACTTTCCCTTTAGCTGTAAGAAAGACTTCTACTGATTTGGACCAAGGTATATAATTCTCCTCATTTAGTTTAATAGAAGCCATCTGCACTCTAAAGAATTCAGATGGAACCAAACCACTTAGTGTAATCTTTTTACCACTTCCAAATGCTGTCATGATGTCTCCAAACTGCTACACACAACTCCAGAAACAAGAGTGAAAACAATACTGACTCCACACCACTAACAAGCCTATTTCAGGAAACTACTGCTCAATATCTCATGCTGGTCACTACTAACACACCACAAAACATGATCACTACATCCACCAGCGCAGAACCACTTCCCTCCTTCGTAACATTAAACAGAGAGATTAAACCACCACATACATCATTCTACAGTCACACATGGTGACTGTAACTGAAGAAGAAAGAATCGAAAAGCTTCTTCCTAACCTGTAGATGCATAAGAATAAGCATTTAAGAGAGATACTTCAAGAAAAAAAAAGAATTCTTGACTTTTGGGGATGCTCCTAGAAGATATCACAGCTTTGTATCCTCGTATATGTGTGATTGCAAGCCACAGCAAGCATATAAAACAGATTGGAAAGCTTCAAGAGAGATGAGAAACCCTTCTAACATGTAAATGGTATTCAGTCTGTAACCTGTTTTGCTACATGTAAATGGTATCCAATATGTAAGGAAGAAAGAAAGACAAAGATAGAGAGGATGAGAGGAAAGAAATCTATCTCGCCCTCTGGTGCCAGATTTATTTATAGATTAAGAGTAGGTGCAACTTGGGTTGGCCTTAGAATTTTACACCCACTCAAATTTTGACAAAAGACCAACCTGATCCTGCCCAAGTTGCACCCCTGTCAACACACTTCTTAACAGGCTGAAATATCTTGCTGATCAAAAAAAAAAGGCAGCAATATCCTCAGTTTTATTTTTTATTTTCAAAATTTGGGCAAGTCCTATTTGACCTTCAGAAAAGCAATCTAAATCCCTTTTCTCTAATATCATGAAATTTGATGTTTAGCAATCTAAATCCCTTTTCTCTAATATTACCAAAAAAAGGTATTAATAAGATCACTTATACTCCAATTCTAAAAAGTACACAATTTTGCTAAGCTGGTCTTTTAAAAATCCTAGAATGTATTCCCATAAAACCTACAAAAGTTCCTTCTTCATAAAGTGTAAAGTTCCTGAAATCAACATGTTGACCAAAATATAGTAAATGCAATTCTTAGAAGAGTATGGAAAGTATGGAAGCAAATCCATAAAAGGTAATGAACGCAGATAACTAAATACAAGCACACAAAAGAACTTAAAATAATTTCTACCACATGTAGAGCATGGCATAAACTAAAAATTTGTCACATTAAAAGCTAATAATAAATTCAAAATGTTTCACATAAGAAGATTGACTACCTTGAACCCTGAATTTCTTCCAGAAGGGATCCCATGGAATAGATTGCATCCAGTGTGTTCAATTTCACTGAAAGGATAAGAAATAGGTTAATATCACCTAATGTCGACAAAGTATTTATTTAAACATTTTTAGGGAAGATAAACCTCATTAATAGATAAGCTCTAAGGCTAACATGTAAAAAGATGGAAGTAAAACATGATAGCATCAAAAAAGAAGAATAACCTTCACCAAAGCATCAACATGCTAATTATTTGTTTTCATGTAAAAAAAGATAAATTCTTATGAGAATAGACTATTTAAGCATATGCAAGACTAAGATTTGATAAATCTTAGGGTGAGAGTTTAAGATACCTCAAACGTCCATGGACTGGTTCGGGTGCGTGGATAACTCTAGCACCATGTACATATCCCAATGCCTATAAAAAATATGTTAGTTGTAATAATCAATCATAAAGAGATAAAAACAGAAAACAGTGATAATACAATAGATAAACCCTTTTCCATCATCAATCAATATTCTAGATGTTTCCTTTCCTCTAAATATTTTCATTTGAGAAACAGCAGATGGAAATGAGAAGCATCAACATGCAGAATAAATTAAGAAGTGAACAAATGTTGTATGATGGGCTGCAGAGTGGGAAATCAAGACCCATATTCTATGACCCACAACCCCATTGTCATACACTGTTCATTTTCTATGTAAAAAAGCATGCCTAATTTCTTAATTTTGGTATCACTAGAAAGCTTACCAAGTTTTCTATCCAACAATATAGGATCAATCAATTAATAACAAATACCAGTATCATTCAAATTAAACATGATTTAAGCAAGCTGTGACCAAATTACAGACAGGGTAGAGGCCTGTGACATGATTATCTGTCATATGGGTATTTTACATACCATTCAAATTTCACTTGAGTTATTTAAGATCTATGATTTGTATACATGGAAATTTGTGTTTTGTTTTGACACCCAAATATGACCATATTTCAGCATCTGTTTGCTCAATTCTCAAATTTATATTGGCATATTGGTCTTCACATCGGAAAACAACAAACAGGACTTTGATATGAACGGCATCAATGTAAATAAGTTGCGATAGTTGTGATAGAGGGTGTGTAAAATGTAAATACTAATTCAAAACAGGGACCCAAACATAAGAAGGCATCACATGCGTATGCATGCATGCATACATGTATGTATATATGTATGTATGCATGAATGCATACATGAATGTGTGTGATTTAAAAACTAGAGATTTTGTGTTAAGGGCATATTTATAAATAACTAAATATAAGGTTGTTCTAGTACAAAATTAAGAAAGGAAAGGCCCCAACGTGAGCATCAAGGTGGTCCTAGAGTGAACCAAGAAGTATTCTGAAATTTTTTAGTAATCTTCTGTTCTATGAGCATTTTTGGTAAACTTACTTCATTTCAATTAGGTCTATCTGATTTTTTTTTTGTGGATCAGATAGTTATGCTATGTTATTGAACCCTATATAAGGTTAAAGGTTCGCAGTCATATTATAAATAGAATAGGAATTATGATGTGTTCATTGAGATGAAGCTTTTCAGTGGCGATTTTGTAATTTTGGTGAACAGTAACCCGAGCCCTATTACCTCTTTACAAATATATCTTTATAAGTCATGTTTTGGAAGAGAATGAATTGAAAGAGTATTTTAAAGTGGTGCAACATTGTATTTTCACTCTTTTTTTGATAGTAAAGGAAAATAAATTTCATTAAAGTTAACAAAGAAGTCTGACTGCATCCAAAAAACAAGGTGTTAAGGAAACACCTTCAAACAAAACCAGAATTACTCATAAGTACAACCAGAATTGCTAATTTGCAACTCAAGGTTTTCCCAAAATTTCTCCCCAAATTCTGATCTGTCTACTTGAGTGAAATCTGGTAAGACCAACAAACAGTCAACTATTAGCTTTCCAAAATCCACCACCACTTTCCCCAAGCTCTGAACCTTATCCTCAAGCAGTCTTTTGTCCCTCTCCTTCCAAATGCCCCAGAAGACTGCAAACAGAATGCAGCACTAAACCAGTCTGCCCCTTTTGCTCCCTCTAATCTTCGGTCAAGAGGAAAATATTTCAGCAGGATCCCTTGGCTTAAAGCCTCTCACACCAAAAAGGGAAGAGAAGAACCGCCAAATAAAATCAGCAACTTTGCAGCATACAAATAAATGGCCTCAGTCTCCTCTTGCTCAAGACACATATTTCACACACTAAACATGCTGAACCCTCTGCTCTTCAGGTGCTCTACCATTAAAATGCTGTCTATAGCAACCAGCCATGCAAAAGCCCCTACCCTCAGTGAAATGGGATTGCCCCATATGCCTACATTTTGTGTGGATTCCTGTTGCTTTCAAATTAAATCTGCATAGTAGGGATTCACAGAGAATATTCCATTCCTGCACTCCTTCCACCACAACTCATCCCTTGAAGAGCTCAAAACTTTTGTTTTTTTCTATTCTGTCCAGCAATGCAATATACATACGAGTTGATCACCCCTCATTTCATAACATTGATTAATACAAACTAACATCATGATCAGTGATCCTGTACAACCGCAGACACAGATCACAAAGCTTTCCCACTTCCCACCATTCATCCTCCCAAAATCTAACCTTAGCTCCATCCCCCACTACAAATATTATTAAATTTATCAACTCTTGGTCAAAAAGACATTATTCCTTCCAAATAATCACCCCGCATGAAGCAGAAACCTCCTTTGACTCCCACCCAAACCTCACTACTCCATATTTCCCCACAAGGCCACAATAACCCTTCTCCAAAGTGATTCCCTCTCCCTCTCTAGACCAAACCTCCACATCAATTTTCCTAACAATGCCTTCTTGAAAATTCATACCCTTCTCATTCCCAGCCCACCTCCACACTTCAGCCTATGAACCTTTTTTCCTTTGACAAGGTGGAATTTCTTGGAACCACCCAAACCTTCCCGTAGGAACCTGTAGAGGAGATGGGCCGAATGGCCCATAGGCTGTCATTCTATGTTATGTTTATGTTTTCCTCTGTAATGGGCCTTATTCTGGGCCCATACTCTTATGTACTCTGTTTTTTTGTAATTTCTTGCCCACCCAAGGGCCTCTCTGTAATAATTCAAAGATTAACTTA